GGACAAGATGCAGCTGCAAAGATGGGCAGACAATTATCTTAATATATTTCCTAATTAAACACTTCAAACACAGTAAGGATTGCCATTTTCTAGGCTGTGATATAAAGTGGGATGGTTTAATTAAAAAAAAAAACCCACAACAAAAATCCAAAGACTATACTGAAAAACAAACCCCAAATATCTTTCCTAGAGAAGAAACATTTAGCTGTCTTAAATGAAAAGTACCTGAAAAATGTCACAAAGAACTGTACCAGGTCCATAAAGTTGCTGTGCTGTGAGAATGCAATCTGCAAGAGAAAAGCAAATGCTTTCTATTACTGACTGACAAGTAAACTCAGATTTAAGATGCATTGTTGCTGCGAGCAAACAGTGAAATACATCTGTACTTAAGTAACAACATTTTTGAACATTGTTTTAAAAAAAGCACTGAAATATTCAGAGGGAAAAGAAAACAAACTGTAACTTCACATTATTTGGAAATCATATATCCAAATGATCAGTTGAAGCAAGCCCTCTCCCAGAAATGTTCAAGGCACAGTCTTCGGTGCGCAGCAGCTATCTTGGAGAAAACACGAGTTCAACAAAATCAGAACACGCAAGTTCCACGGAGCTGAAACCAGAGCAGTTTTAATTACACAGGAAACCAACACACACGAATTACAAGCTCCAACTGCACGCTCCCATTCCAACAGCGTTCGTCCATCCAACCCGCTTCGAGCGAGGCACTTACAGCGAGGGCAGCAAAAAGGCATGAAACGCAGAAGGCAAGTGAGACTGTGAGAACAGCCATGGCATTCATGGCAGCCCGCGCTCCCGCCAGCCACTCGCCCCCCGCCGGGAACGGGAAAACAAGCACGTCGTTTGGACAAAAACCAGAGGGAAGAAGCGAACAGGAAACTGGGAGGTGGTTAGAGGGAGAAGGAAAGATTAGGGACGCTGGTTAAAAATAACAAAGCTGTCAGAAAGGCCACTTCTGCAGCACGGGGAATCAGAAGTTCTGTCCAGGTACCTCCTATTTCCTCCGCCTATCCATCTCGGCACCACAACAGCACATTAACCCTGTCACAAGGAACGGCATTGATTTCAAAACTGGAATCTGCACTTACGAAAGCTTTCCATGGATAAATTCACTTCAGGCGGCATTTGTGCTGGTTTTCCCCTTAACAGACGGCATGTGAAGCGCTTCATTAGCATAAATACAAACCTCTCCTCCCAGCAACAGTCCCATTCCAAAAATGATGAACATACGCAAAATGACTATTGCTTGGCTTTCCGTTCCCGCAGAACACCTTCTACCACCGTATTCGCTTTAAACATCCATTGTAACTCAGCATAAAAGCTGCCCCAAACATTTTTCTTATAAATACTTTCCAGTGCTCTTAAGCTGAAAGCTCCTTCCCAGCACAGAACTTGTGTGTTGCTGGAAAGCTAACTTGAAACCTGCAGACCAGATGCTTGTGACCTCAATATAACTGCCGACAAAAGACAAGAAAACACATAGTTTCTTGCTGATTTTTTTTCCTTGTAAAGTGTTTCCCAATAGCTTCCTGATGAGAAAAAGTAGAGAGAGAATGATTTCACTTTTTACTGTAAAACTTAGTGCACGGTAACTGGGGCGGTTTTAGAGTCACGTAACTATTCTGGCAGTTCTTTAAGGCAAAGAATTTTCTTACTGAATTATCACATCCCAAAATGCAAACATAAATGCACCCAGTATATAGAAATATGGCCTGATAATAACTATGATGCTGAACGACTAAGACATGCACTTCAAAACAAAGACCGTCTCATGTATCAACACCTTATACTTACAAATACTCTTGCAGAAAAAGAAAATTAAAAGCACAAAGAAATCAAGGTGTCAGTCCTCTGCAGATGAGCATGAGCACCAGTTTGTGAATAAACTAAAGCTTGCCCCACGTAGAATGGGAAGAAGAAAGAAGCATCAGTAATTTGAAATAAAGACAGATTCTGTGAGACTAAGGAGACTGTGAACCCATCTCTAGACTGCTGCAGGAGAAGGGCTCCTCATGTTTTTGATAACTGAAGTGTAGGAAATAAAACAGAGAGGGACAATCTGGGTTTGTTTCACACAGAAGAATCACACATGCTTTACCAGCAGTGGTTCTTTTGCCTACCTACTGGAGCTCTTGCAAAGCACAACTGAGGATCTGTACCTCATACACGGATTAAAAAAAAACACCCAAGTTGGTTTCGTAATTCCTTCCCATAAGCTGAAAACACTTCACGCTATTAAACCAGACCAATCTGTGTCACAGGCAATTTAGTATCATAATTGTTAATGGTTTGCTTACTTAGAGCTTAATTTCCCCTAATATAATCTGTTCCTAGGACTTAATTAATTCAGTTACATAGAAGGTTTAGCTAGAAATTGCTGCTAAAAGTAGGCTGTTCATCCTGAATACAGGGAAAATATGGCACAAATTTCTTAGCAGTACGGATTTTTAATTAAGTTTAAATGACAGTAGTAGATTCATTTATCCATTCTCAAAAACCGAATTTTGTACCAGAGGAACAAGCAGTATAAGTGCAGGAAAATACCACGTGTCTCACATTGGGGACTGGGAGAGTCTCCTCCAGGCATCCAGCAGAACTTCAGCTCAGCTACAGAAGTGAATTTCACAGCATAGGTGTCCTTCAGAAACGTTTTATACTGTGTTCTTAGGAACAATGCAGTATCCTTAAGTAATTAAGATCAAAACAGATCAGAAAATTAATGACGTTAATTCCAGAGAATATTATAAAGCCTGTGTTTATCTGCTCTGAAGAGGTACCTGAAAAAGCATTCCAGCCTATCGCACATCTTCTAATGCCACATCATTTGAAGCATCAAAAACATCTGGCTGCTTTCCAAATGAATAAACAGAGCTGGCTACATGGCCTGATAAAAATGTGTAATTAAGAGCTTTGCTTTATTTGTCATTTCATTAGCATAAAATATTAAGCCAGGAAGAAAATCCAGCTACCTCTGACGATCCAACAACTTCCAAGAAGTGCAATAGGTATGAAATCAGTACACACGTATTTTGAAGGCGTTAACGGCAAAGTATGCGGCCACAGAATATTTTATGTAAAGGAAAAGCAGTTTGAACCCAACTGATGTTTTGGTAACAGTTGGTATTTCGAACTCAAACTACTTGTGTGGAGTCAAACTACAGCCTGTGACTGACACCAGCTTTGATGCAGCACTGGCCTGCATCAGTGCCCAGGTTTGTGCTCCAAGAGAAAAGAAACTTGAGAATAACTTCAAGGGAATAATTTTGTACAAAAATGGGTCCAGCTGACTCCCAGTCAACTTCGTATTTTGAAACAAGTTCACCTTAAGCCAGTAAGTGCAACCGTATCCGGAGTTATCTAAGCCTCTATTCTTTTGACTTATGAGTGCTTTGAACTCAGAAGTACTTCAATTTCACATCCCACTAAAAAAATTAGTGTCACCAAACCAATCAGAAATTCTGTAGCCTTTGTTGTTGTTGTTGTTAAATACAGCAAGAAATGGATTTCACAGAATGGGTTTGGGCTTGAAGGGACCTTAAAGCCCACCCAGTCCCACCCCCAGCCACGGGCAGGGACACCTTCCACTAGACCAGGTTGCTCCAAGCCTCATCCAGCCTGGCCTTGGACACTTCCAGGGATGGGGCACCCACAGCTTCTCTGGGCAACCTGTTCCAGTGCCTCCCCACCCTCTCTGGGAAGAACTTCTTCCTGATGTCCAATCCCAATCATCTCCCTTTCCATTTAAAGCCGTTACCCCTTGTGTTATCACATCAGTGCTGCCTTCCTTTTCAACCCTACTTCATATTAAGGGTAAGAAAAAAGTGAAATTGGAAATGGTATTTTGAACAGGACTCATTCCTAGAACAGAACTGTAAGGGAGAGAAAAATAAGAGTCTAATTAACATGTGAGGCCGGAGAAGCACAACAGAGGGGGCGCAACGTGAAGCAGGCTGCTGGAGTTTGGCGCTCGCTGTGCATTCAGAAGACATCAAAAGGGTCCCTACTGTGACATCCATTAACCTCACCTGACAGGTGGGAGCAGGCTACAGCACTTGTTTTGAAAGCCCACAGGACTACGCAGCACTGAAATCCACAGAAATTCAGAGACTTCAGGCTATCTTGCTTTTTATTTAAATATAGCCACAGAGTCAAAGGTACTGAACAAAAAAGTAGCACGTGGGACTGAAAGGCTGGGAGCTGCAAGGGCTTCCAGAGAGAACAAGCCAACAGCCAAACAAGCTGCAGATGACGTTTATGTACATCTGCTATTTCTTCCTCAGCACCTCTACTTTCTCTATTTTATGGTTAGAGGCAAGGATTCAGCCTGACCTTGGAGAATACAGACAACAGTAAGAGGATGCCATGGTCTGAATGTTGAGTGCCTGCGCTTCTGTCAAAGGACCTGCTGAAAAACAAACGGATTTTAAGTATTCCTGAGCGATGCCAAAGTCATCAAAACCTTCATTTTGCCCTCCACGACAGTGATGGGGAGAAGAGTGCTCCACTGCTTGAGATAAACTTGGTTCCCGGTTGCAGTTCTCCCTTAACCACAAACACAACATGCCCTAGTGAAACACAGCAAAAGACACAGACGTTCTTGGTGCTCTCCACTCCAAAGGAACTGCGAGCCAACTCCAACAGCCTCAGCCGTGAGGTTCTGGGATAAGAATGAGCCAGTTCAACATTCCAGCTCTACCACCTAAAAGGTGGTTGTGGCTCTCCTGCTGCTGCTTCCCATGGTCCCTGCACGCCTTCAGTGAGCCACGGCCAGTTGTTCAACCAGCAGAGAGCTAACCATAGGCACGCAGGGCAATTTGCTGGTATTTTTGAGCTGATCCAGCTCACTGAGGGATGAGGCAAACTCCGTCACAACCCAAGGGAGGAGCAGGGCAAGACAACCCTTTTTGGGCAGGTGGCTCTCAAATCATCTCGGTGACGTTAGCTTCCAGGACAACCTTTTAGAAGGAAGCATCCGTTTACTTCTGCAGGTGACATTTCTGGGACTCAGACACAAGTGAAGACGTCTGACTACAGGAACACAGAGGTACATGCCTATCGCTCTTTTACACTCAGTGGAAATCTGTGATTCAGTTGGCCAATGCAGGTGTCTATTACAGGATTACCTGAACTGTTCCAGATCTCAGTCTCCATCTATAATGGGACCGTAAACACCTAAGGCACATGAAGACACATGTGTAGACCCTTACATTTACATGGTTTGAATTTCCACAGTGCTTTCTTGCCCTTGGTTTCACAGATGCACTGGAAG